CTGAGTAGTACTCCATTGTGTAAATGTACCACATTTTCTTTATCCATTCTTCAGTTGAAGGGCATCTAAGTTGTTTCCAGGTTCTGGCTATTACAAATAATGCAGCTATGAACATAGTTGAGCATGTGGTGTTGTGGTATGATTGAGCATTCTTTGGGTATATGCCCAAGAGTGGTATAGCTGGGTTTTGAGGAAAGTTAATTCCCAATTTTCTAAGAAAGCACCATATTGATTTCCAAGGTTGCTGTACAAGTTTGTATTCTCACCAACAGTGGAGGAGGGCTGAACACCCTGGTCGTCATGATAGAACTCTCATCCAGTGTCTGATGGAAGCAGGTGCAGAGATCCACGGTTCAGCCCCAGGTGGAGCTCCGGGAGCCCAATTTGCGAGAGGGGGGGGATTGTATGAGCAAGAGATATTGTCACCATGAGTGGAAAAAGCACAGGGACAAATAGCCAAACTAGCAGAAACACATGAACTGTGAACCAATGGCTGAGGAGCCCCCATGGAACTGGACCCGGTCCTCTGGATAAGTGGGACAGTTGATTAGCTTGAACTGTTTGGGAGGCCCCCAGGCAGTGGAGCTGGGACCTGTCCTTGGTGCATGGGCTAGCTTTTTGGAGCCTGTGGCCTATGCTGGGACACTTTGCTTAGCCTTGGTGTAAGGAGGAGGGGGACCGGACCTGCCTTGGCTAAGTCTACCAGGCTGGGCTGACTCCCCAGGGGAGAACTTGCCTTGGAGGAGGTGGGAATGGGGGATGAATTGGGGGAGGGGAGTGGCAGGAGAGAGGACAGGGGAATCCGTGGCTGATATGTGAATTAAGTTAATTATAAAATAAAAAAAAATTAAAAAAAGAAATAATATGTTGGAATGTTTTAGTGCATAGACCTGAATTTCCCCCTTTAAAGCTGCACCTTGCAAATTTAGTACAATATCACATTCATTATATTCAAATATACATAATTAAGCTAGATAATGAGGTCTTTACCAAGATTCTCTTACTTTGTTCTTTTATCATGCCACATAATTTCCTATTTACCTTTAGGTTTTACAATCATTGATCATCTCTTTAGTTCACTGCTGATATCACTTCATGTGTGTTGTATAGAATTATAGAATATGTTATCTTTTGAGATTAACTTGTGTTACCCAACATAATTCTTTGGAGATTAATTGAGGTGACTGTATGGATTAATATTTATTTCTTTTTGTTACTGAGCATTATTATATGGTATAAATTCATTATAGTTTTACCATTTGTCAGTTGATAAAATTCCAGTTGGCCACTAGTACATTAAAGTTGCTATAAAACTTTATGTTCAGGTTATATCTGGATAAATGTGTATTTCTTTAGAATAAATTCTCAGGTGCGTAACTGCTAAAGTGTACAGTAGATGCATTAACTAATTAATTAAATGTCATATTATTAAACATTTTGTCCTTTTTATTGGTATTTTTTGTTGTTTAATGTAGTTCTTACATAATTTTTCTGTATTAGCTAGTCTACCTGAACACAGAGCTATACCATTCATAGCTGAGGAAAAAGAGCCTTACTGAATCTGCCCATTGCAGGACTCAGTCTGAATGTAACTCTTGCTAAAGTACCGAGGACTGATTATAGAGGACTTCTGACCTGACACTACAGTATTGTCATACATGGCTATCAGAAAGTTACAGTTCATATCACTGCATAAAATATGGCTTGAAGACCCCTAGTAAGCTTCAAACACGATCTAGAGGGAAGATTGGAATCATTAGACTGGGGATTTAAAGCAACCATTATTAATCATATGTATATATACATACATATATATGTACATATATATATATGAAAAGAAATATATTTATATATTCCTGTGTATGTACACACACACACACACACACACACACACACACACACACACACGCACCCACACATACACATACATATGAAAAGAATTTAAATATGTTCATGACAAGAACCTTTAATAAATCGGGAATAGAATGCAGTGTCCTCAGTTTAATAAAGGATATCTACCAAAAATATTTAGCTGACACTATATAGGTGAGACAGTGTTTTTTCAGCCAAGGTCAGGAATAAGGGATGGTTATTTTTATCACCATTTTGCTGTGGAGTAATCCTTTGTACACTGTGAATATATATCACTCTCATTGGTTAATAAAAAAGCTTACAGGCCTGTAGCAAGGCAGAATAAGGTAAGGGTGGAAAGCCAAACTGAGAATGCTGGAACGAGGACAGGCTGAGTCAGAGTGAGTCATGGGCAGATGCAGAGAGAACAAGATGAAAATGCCATTTGAAGAAAGATACTAGGCCATGTGCCTAAGCTTAGATAAGAAATAGGGGTTAATTTAAGTGTAAGAGTTAGCTAGTAACAAGCCTGAGCTACTGGCACACATTTATAATTTATATTCAGTTGGTTATATGGGACAAGACAGTTGAAACAGGAAATGTCCGTTTATAATATTTCTTTCACCATAGTGCTAGAAGTTGTAGCCTATGCAGTAAGAGAAGAAAAGTAAATAAGAGTACATGACAGGAAAGAAAAAATAAAACTGAAACTTTTACACAAAGGATATTGTCATCTCTTGGGAAAATAAACTAGCCACATGCACCTCTCTTGGAATTAGTAACATTCATGGAAGTTTTGTAGGAAACAGGATTAGTATTTTTTAAATCAACAACTTGTCATAAACCAGCACTGAATGGATAGATTTTGAAACTACAATGCCATTTACGATAATCTTCAAAATGAAATCCTGGAATGTAAATCTTATAAAATATGAAAAAATGTATGAGGAAAACTATAAACTCCTGCTGAAATAAGAAATAAATAAATGGAGAGGTAGCTCATTTTAGTGGATAGGTTTGCAATCCCAGTAATAGGCTGTATGTATTTTGGAGCGATGCATGTGTGAGAAATCTCTGTATATTCCTCTAAATTTTGCTATGAAATTTAAGGGAACAAAAAGGTGCTAGGCATTTTCTAAGCACAAGGCTTCCTTCCTTCAAATGGTTTTGAGTATTTTAGATATAAGACCTCTCAGTTGATACAGTAACAGTGATGGAAATATCACTTGTTACAGAGTAACAGTGCTTTGCTCCTCATCCTCACAACAGTTCACTCACTTATGTCTCTTTGCACTTTCTAACCTTGATTCTACCCTGAGGCTTTTCTGTTGCATTAGAGAACTCAAGATAAGCCCCAAACTTGGATTCTCTCTGAAGGTATAATGAGCTACCACCCCAGCCATTTGGCACATCACCCATGTTATTTTAGAAAAAAAAATGCCTTTCAGTGGAATGAGATTATTTTACTTGAGCAGTTTTCTATGTTATAAAGTTTAATTACTAGTTTAAATGAACAGAAGTAAATTTGTACCCATATGGCATTAAAGTATGTTAACTTTAGAGGAGAGAAATAATATGAATAATGCTTTGAAATGTTTTCCTGTGCCAAAAACAATAACATAATATTTTTAAAATTGTCTTTGCACTCAAGTGTACCTGTCTAAGAAAAGAATAATATGTTTTATGCTGTTTGTTTTTCCTGGATCATGGTTAGTTCCAAAAGTAGAATGACATTGTAGCCAAGTAATAGTTTTATAAGTATCACAGTTACTGGGTAATTAAACTATTGTGAATTTCCTACATGCCTATTGATGTCATTAAACATAAGCGTATTGCATTCCAGAATCATTTAGTCATCCTTTTTCACTGACAGTTGGTACACTAGTTCATGTTAAATGGAATATCTCTTTAAACTATTTTTGGCATTTCCTAGATTAGATGAATTATGAATTTGATTATTAAAATTAACCTGTTATGTTCATCTGGTATTTGTTCTGAGCCATTGTCCTTTTGTACTTAGTTTTTCTGTGCTCTGAAAAAAATTTTATTCATGTAGATATTTGATGCAAAAAAAATTTGCAATAAGATGTCATTTTCAGTATTTGTTATTTGTTTTTACTTACAAATATATCTTGTATGAACCAGAAGAAAGATTGATACAATAAGTTGTACTTTTTTATTTTCTTCTTTTACTCATCACAGTTGATTAAGAATTTATATACAACAAAAGTAAAATTTAGGTTAAATGCTGTTATTACCCAAGGAGAGAAATGATAGTTCACGTCCAAAGTCTGTGCAGTTGGTCAGTACCACTCCTCTATATCACTATTTCAGTACTCTCTAGGTTTTGAGAACCTTTTGATAAATCAAAGGGAAGGATTCTAAAAAAACCTTGCTTGACTATTATGTCACAGGCAGATGGCTTTCTCATCACATTTTGTTTTACTCCTCTTCATGAATTTGTCATTTGTCTTTCTGGGTTTTACAGGATTCTGCACAAGTTGTCTTTGAGCCTCTTCTTCATTCGAGATATTGGATGCCTCCTCTCTGCTCCTCCAGGCATTTGACTATGAGGAATTTCTCTTTGGACATTTGTGATTTCTTTGATCAGAGTAGTGATATTTTGATACTATGCATTGTGAAATTGAATTCAGATAGAATTCTGGAAGTTAATTTATGTGAAATAAACATGTGTGGGTCAATGTAAATGTTTAAAAGTTACTTTAATACTTTAACAAAACTACTGTAATCCATTGACCACAAATTGGTTTAAAATTTTTTATAGTATAAAAAGTTGTTTTTGGTTTACTTCTGCAGATGGAGTCATCTAAGGCCAAGGATGATTACATGAGATTATCAAATCTTGAATTAAAAATATTAATAATAAAAACATGTATTTTAAGGCATTTGAACTTTTTTTTTTTTAATAGTGATAACATTTCTGGGAGTGAGAGCAGATGTATCTTGAAGGAATGAAAACTAATTTGTGAAAATGTTTACAAACATTTGATGTCCCAAACTTAAGCTTAAATGTAATAATTTTGATTATTAGGAAGCCCAAGGAGCCTGTTTTTGCAACAGTTTTTGAAAGTTGTTATTGAATACAGAATAATTAATTGCACCTTTCCCATTTTACTTGGGAAAGGCATTTAGTTTTCACTGAGTCCTCCCTTCCAGGTCCTGGAGCTCTTGCCTTACTGCTCTGCTCCTGTGCCAGGTAGCTGAGGTGCAAGCAGCATGTGGATGAGGCATTTGCTAACCTCAAGTTCAGTGGAGGGACACTTCTCCTGGCACCTCTCACACTGCTTAGATAACTGGTATTTAGTGATGGTAGTTGTGGAAATTTCCCTGTTTCAAAGAGGGGATACTGAGAACTGGAAAGCAGAAGCTAGCAGATCCTATGGTTCCGGAAGCTTGTGGGGAAAGGTTAATCGAAGATAAACCCTTTGGGAGGAAAGTACTATTGTATTTGTTCATTTGCCTCGATTTATCTGTCTCCTAAGAACAGATACTTGTTTTTTTTTTTTTTTTTTTTTTTTTTATCACTAGTGTCTGGCTTAACAGTTGACATCACCTTTTAACAAATACTTGTCAACTGAACCAACTCTCTGTCAGGCAGGAAGAATTGGGTTTCCCCTAAGTTTATACCATAATCATTACCTGTTGTAATCAGTAGAAGACAAGGAATGTGTTTAGGAAATATTTTTGTTTTTCTTACAAATAAGGTATTTATCTCAGATAACTCCTTAGAAAGTAACAACTTTTTGTTTTTATGAATGAGAAACATTGTCCAGGTATCATTTGCTTAATAAAAGATTAGTGAAACTCAAACATATAACTTCAGAAAAGTATTTTCCTTTTAACAACTTAAAGTAGTGTTTATTATAACAGTAGAAATCTGTGGTGAGGGAAGAGATTAAATAGATGATCTTTATTTTTTATGATTGTGTGTGTGTGTGTGTGTGTGTGTGTGCGCGCGCGCGCACGCGCGCACCCTTGGAACTCAAAAGAGGGTGTCAAAACCACTGGATCCAGAGTTGATAGGTGGGTGCAAGGTCCCTGATGTGGGTGCTGGTGTACACATCCAAGTAGATTCTCATACTGTTCCCTCTAATATTTCAAGGAAGATAAACTTCTGGGGCTGGAGAGGTCATTCAGTGGCTAAGAGTACTTGATGGAGACTGGAGATTACTGTCTAGATGTGATAATCATTGGAGATCTGTTCCTGTTCCTTACATGAGTTTTCAAAATAGAAATGATCTTTCCTGCTAGATTCCTTCTAGAATGGATATATTTTGAAATGATTTGAATGAATAAGAATGGCTGCCATAGGCTCATATATTTGAATACATGATCTCCAGTTCTCGGAACTGTTTGGGAAGGATTAGGAGGCATGGCCTTGTTGGAGGAAGTTTGTCACTGGGGTTGGGATTTCAGGTTTCAAAAGACTTGTGATTCCCAGTGCTTTCTTTCTCTGCCTAATGGATTTAGATTAAGACATGAGCTTTCAGTTGCCCCTTCATTCTGCCATCATGGACTCTGGCTCTCTAAAACTGTAAGGCAAACTAAACACTTTTAACCAAGGCAACCTTAGTTATGGTATTTTAGCACAGCAAAAAAAAAAAAAAAAGTAGCTGAGTTGTGAATAATTTGTGTTCTGTTTCTAACTAGAAGGAAAAAGTGTCTTCGAATCTTATAATATTTCCCATTTTTATAGTACAACATCACTGAAGAAGGAAGAAGCCCAATTTAAAGCCATTACAGTCACTCCCCTTTCTCTCTTGGCACAGAGACAGACTGCTTTCACTGTCTGTGTTCGGTTCTGTTCTTGACTTCTGTGCTTAGGTTAATAGTACCTTTCAGTTTCAGTGTTACATCCCATTGCTCCTTAGTATTTTTATGTATTTAGATGAAATATATTATAGGAATTGATATAATAGAATGTAGATTACAGGGCAGATTGCCTGGAGTCCAGATGCCATAGCTTAGTTAACTGTGTAACCATTGTGAATCCTCCCACCCCCACCTAGAGTTAACTAGTTAGTTAAATAGTTGCTTTAATTAAATTTCTTTTTTTAATTAATTTTTTAAAATTTATTTACATACCAACCACCATTTCCCCCTCCCTACTCTCCTCCACTTCCTTTCTACCCACCCTCCCATCCACTCCTCAGAAAGGGTAAGGCTCCCATGGTCGTCAACAAAGCATGGCATATCGAGTTGTGGCAGGACCAAGCTCCTCCCTTCTGCATCAAGGCTGGGTGAGGCATCCCACCATAGGGAATCAGTTCCAAAAAGCCAGCTCATACACCAGGGACAGGTCCTGATCCCAGTGCTAGGGGCCCCACAAACAGACCAAGCTACACAACTGTCAGCCACATGCAGAGGGCCTAGGTTGGTCCCATGAAGGCTCCCTGGCTGTCCATCTAGAGTCCATGAGCTCTCACAAGCTCGGGTCATCTCCTCTGTGGGTTTTCCCATCATGGTCTTGACGCCCCCTTGCTCTTAATAATCACTCCTCTCTTCAACTGCATGCCAGGAGCTCAGCCCAGTGCTTGGCTGTGGATCTCTGCATCTGCTTCCATCAGTTGCTGGATGAAGGTTCTATGATGACATTTAGGGCAGTCACCAATGTGATTACAGGAAAAGGCCAGTTCAGGTATTCCCTCCACCATTGTTAGTAGTCTTAGCTGGGGTCATCCTTGTGGATTCCTGGGAGTTTTCCTGGCACCAGGTTTCTCCCTGACCCCATAATGGCTCCCTCTGCTGTTCGAATCTTAGATGGTCTTTTAAGAAAAAACCTAGAGTCAGATATGTGAAAGCTGGAAGATTAGAGAAGCAGAACAGCCAGCCATTAGTTCTTACCTCTACAAAATCCTCAGCTTAAAGAGAATGAGTTCCTGTTTCCTCACACCTTATATAACATTCTTTGCCCTGCCATACTACTTCCTGGGATTAAATGCTTGTGTGCTTCCCAGGCAAAGGCATGAGATCTCAAGTGCTGGGATTAAAGGTGTGTGCTACCACTGCCTGGCTCTGTTTCCCTCCTATACTGGATTAATTTCATGTAGCCCAGTGTGGCCTTGAACTCACAGAGATCCAGATGGATCTCTACCTCCTTGAGTGATAGGATTAAAGGTATGTGCCACCACTGCCTGACCTCTATGTCTAATATAGTGGCTGGCTCTGTCCTCTGATCCTCAGGCAAGTTTATTAGGGTACACAATATATCACCACATCCCTCTTTCAAGATATCTCTTTCATTGTTCTCCCTCTCATCCCTCCCTCAACTTGACCATCCTGATCCCTCATGTTCCCATCCCCCTACCTCCTCTCCTCTATTCCTCCTCACCCCCCCAGTTTACCTGCCACAGACTGGCCCATCGGGGGTACCACACCCATAGGAGAACCAGGGCTTGGGTAGTCAGAAAGGCAAGGATTTGGCGAATGACAGACAGACAACACATTCAGAAGTGGTTTGAATCAGCTGCAAATTTACTTTTGTAAATCAGTAGTTTATATGCAGAAAAGAAAACTATCAAGTCGTACAAGGAACAACAAGAGCTTGGCAATAATTCAATTACATCATCTTTAAAAAACAGCAAGCACACAATTATTAATTGGCACTAGACATATCCCTTCACCCACAAGAACTTTATGACCCAAAGAGCAGTCTGTGTTTTTTAAACTTAGTACAGTCCCTACACTTGTGTAGACTTTTTGTGGTTGTGTCCCTTATCCCAGTAGTTTTTTAGATTATATAATACATTTCTACGTTTTTGGTTCCCATGGCCCATTTAGCCAATTTGGATGCTGCAGACCCTCTTTAAGTCTTTCTTTAGTTCTCTACCATATATCTCTTTTAATATGAAACCTTTTTACCTGTTGGAATATGGACTCTTGTACTTTTATGCCTGTAAGGGGAAGGTGTTCTGCTGTAGTCTTTAAGTTTCCCATGCAGAACTTCCTCAACAGAGGGGCCCACCATCTGTCTACTATGAGATAACGTTTTCTACCATAAATCACTTTAGTTGGGATTCCTAAAGGATTCCTAGTGGGTGAGTGTTCATTCCCTAGAAGTGTCTGGACCTTTATACTTTTTTTTATCTAGCGGCTTGGGGTCTTTAAGAAATAGCTCATTCTGTTATATCTGATTAAGATCCATGTCCAGCTTCCCCTTTCCTCCATAGTTCACAACCCAAGCATTCACTAATTTTGGCTGTGCTTCATTGATTAATTAGAACATTATCCGAAAAGCAGTTATACAGAACCCATAGCCCAGGAAGCTCATGATCCGTGAAGCACATCTTCTCTGAGAAGGAAGCATAACATGGGCACTCTGCCAGGGACCTCCAGGGAGCTTAGTCCCATGGGACACGTATTTCCCATCCGCTATTATTGACATAATTGTTCATGTCACATGGATGACACTGGAGTTGGTGTGGCATTTACCAAGGACATCTCATCTATTCCCGCTTAGGGTAATCCATGTGTCCCTCTTAGGGTCATTGTTGTTACTTAGCTTCTCTGGGGCTATGAATTGTAGCCTGGTTATCCTTAGCTTTACAGCTAGTATCCACTTATGAGTGAGTACATATCATGTTTGTCTTTCTGAATCTGGGTTACCTCACGCAGGATGATTTTTGTCTAGTTCCATCAATTAGTCTGCAAATTTCATGATGCCATTTTTTTTACACTGCTGAGTAATACTCCATTGTGTAAATGTACCACATTTTCTTTATCCATTCTTTGATGAGGGGCATCTAGGTTGTTTCCAGGTTCTTGCTGTTACGAATAATGCTGCTATGAGCCTCGTTGAGCAAGTGTCCTTGTGGTATTATTGAGCATTCTTTGTGTATATGCCCAAGAGTAGTATTGCTAGGTCTTGAGGTAGATTGATTCCAAGTTTTCTGAGAAACCACCATATCATTTCCAGAGTGGCTGTACAAGTTTGCACTCTCACCAGCAGTGGAGGAGTGTTCCCCTTGTTCCACATCCTCTCCAACATAAGCTGTCCTCAGTGTTTTTGATCTTAGTCATTCTGACAGGTATAAGATAGTATCTCAGATGACTAAGAATGTCGAGCAATTCCTTAAGTGTCTTTTGGCCATTTGAGATTCTTCTGTTGAGAACTCTCTGTTTAGATCGCTACCCCATTTTTAAATTGGATTATTGGGTATTTTGATGTCTAGTTTCTTGAGTTCTTTATATATTTTGGAGATCAGCCCTCTGTCAGATGAGGGGTTGGTGAAGATTTTTTTTCCCCATTACATAGGTTGCCATTTTGTCTTATCGACCTTGTCCTTTGCCTTACAGAAGCTTTTCAGTTTCAGAAGGTCCCATTTATTAATTGTTGCTCTCAGTGTCTGTGCTACTGGTGTTATATTTAGGAAGTGATCGCTGGTGCCAATGCGTTCAAGACTACTTGCTACTTTCTCTTCTGTTAGGTTCAGAGTAACTGGTTTTATATTGAGGTCTTTGACCCACTTGGACTTGATATTTTTACAGGGTGATAGATATTGATCTAATTGCTTTCTTCTACATTATTAATGTGTGGGGTGTGATGTGTAATTTAAGCTTTAATAATGTTTCTTTTACAAATGTGTATGCTAATGTATTTGGTTCACAAATGTTCAGAATTGAGACTTCATTTTTATGGATTTTTCCTGTGATGAATATGAAATATCCTTCTCCGTTTCTTTTGATTAATTTTAGGTTGAAGTCTATTTTGTTAGATATTAGGATAGCTAAATCATCTTGTTTCTTTGGTTTATTTGATTGGAAAATCTTTTCCCAACCCTTTACTCAGAGGTAGTGTTTGTCTTTGAAGTTGAGATGTGTTTCTTGTATGTAGCAGAAGGACTTTTCGTATCCATTTTGTTAGCCTGTGTCTTTTTATAGGCAAATTGAGTCCATTGATATTAAGGGATATTAATGACCAGTGATTGTTAATTCCTATTATTTTTTGTTTTGTTGGTGGTTGTAGTGTGTGTGTGTGTGTGTGTGTGTGTGTGTGTGTGTGTGTCTGTCTGTGTGTTTGTGTGTGTTTCCCTTCTTTGGGATTTGGTGGTGTGAGATTATCTATTGCCTATGTTTTGTGGGTGTGGCTAAGTTCCTTGGGTTGGAGTTTTTCTTCTAGTACTTTCTGTAGGACTGGTTTGTAGATAGGTATTGTTTAAATTTGGTTTTGATCTGAAATATCTTGTTTTCCCCATCTATGGTGATTGAAAGTTTTGCTTGGTATAGTAGGCTGAGCTGGCATCTGTGCTTTCTTAGTGTCTGCAGAATATCTGTCCAGGACCTTCTGGCTTTCATTGAGAAGTCTGGTGTAATTCTCTTAGCTCTGCCTTTATATGTTAGTTGACCTTTTTTCTTTTAGTATTCTTTTCTTCCTTCCTTCCTTCCTTCCTTCCTTCCTTCCTTCCTTCCTTCCTTCCTTCCTTCCTTCCTTCCTTCCTTCCT